TAGTTTGCTTTATCAACTGTCAACATTCAAGTAAGCTATTAAGCTGCAGGTTAGGTAGCTTTTCAAATATGAATTTCTTATATAAGTTAGTTTTTTTTCTTGAAACTGTCCTATTTCTGGCTGGAGCTATACAGACGTTAATGCTGTGTAAAAATTCAGCTTTTCCTTCTTTGGTCTCTAGTGCTCCCTAATGGTATTTGGCAAGAATCCCCGGGCCTGGGAGCGGAAACACCAAATCGGAGTCAAGAAGGTGGGAAAGCGCTTGGGGTTTGATGGCTTTGATTATTTGCTTGAGTATCTTCCCATGAAATGACCTTATGCGCTTTATCTTCAAATGTATCCATAGTAGTCCTATATTATAATAGCACCAACCGCCTTGCTCACCGGTCTGGTGACTAGTTCAAATAATGATCTGCTCTCGAATATCTGTGCCACAGATCCTGTTTGTTGGTGGACTCGGCCTTGTCATCGGGGCTGGAGAGGACCTTCCGCTTCTTCTTCCAGAGAGCGAATGATGAGAGGCCCACCAGTTCTTCTGGGAGGCGTGCTCGTAGGACGGTGCTGATCGGTTGGCCATTTCGGGAGTTGGCTGGGATTGATGGCTTTTCTATCCTTTTCAGGTAAGGGACACACATAGCGCCAGGGGGTGGGAGTATAAGGAGCAGACTATTATTGTGAGGTCTCCTGAAATAGGTAAATATTGGTATACTGACTCTCCTATTCCCTCGTTAGCTCTGCAATACACGGATGGTTTGGGGTTTTAAAGGGTTGGGAGGAGGGACTTGATTGGAGATGGTGATTTGAAGCCGGGTCCTTAGGTCAGGAGCTAAATCCTCTAAACTCAACAAGACCTACATCAAGTCCTCAAAACCGATCAACAAGGCTTGTCTCATTTCAAAAGCTCTCCAATGCGTCCAAGATTTGTTGCAGTCGGTTTACAGTTCATTCGTGGCTTAAGATCCACATTGAAAGGCTGCATCCTTCACAGGATCAGTCCCTGAAAGTGTGTTTGATGTTTTCGGACGCATAAATTTTTAAAGCCGCGGGTGATCTTCAGGAGTTGTGAAGTTGGCCATTGGGACACGTTAATCTGCAAAATTCAAGCCAACCCTGAGGGATTTCTGTGTGACTGGTTACACTTGCCTCAACTTTCTGAATTGACCAATCATTGTGGTTCCGCAAGTTTTGCATATAGCAATCCCCTGTGCACAATGGTTGAGCCGTACGTCACGCATAAAAGTTTAAAAAGGTGAACTGATACTTTTCAATTCAATTTCGGAATCACAATTTGTATTTTATAGAGCCAGATTCAATAACGAAGTTAATTCTCATGACACTTTTCAAATAAGAGCAGTCTGCGAACTCTTTAACAGCTTTACAGAGGACCCAAACAGTTCACCACCCATGGGGGCAAGACTTGGCGACGGGGCAAGGAAAAACCCTTTGCCTTTTAAACAGGGCAAGACCTAGGAGCAACCTGCCTTTTGATTTAATAAATTAAGTTTTATTCATTGTAAACAATTTCTTTAAAAACATTTTGCAAATGGATGTCCATTGAGGAAAAGCAGCTGTGCAATCAGTTATTTTTATGGCCGCATTAATCGCTAAAGCCGCAAATCTTGCGAGGATTGTTACAGAGGTGAGTGGCGTTACATGTATGGTAGCGTTGGTGTTGTGGGTTCGGTGTTTTTCTCGGATAAATGATAAGGATAAACATGACAAGATTTTGTTTTCAGCTAGAGGTTTAGACTGAATGTTCCGGCTGTATTTCTGGACGACTGTTAACCAGAGTTAAAATAGGGAATATTTAGTTGTCTCTGTTAAGTCTTTTAGAAAAAAAGGGTTGTTGGGTATACTCTATAAAGGCTGTTCTATTAGGGAAAAGTTGTAAATGTGTTGTTGTTTTTACGGGATTGGTATAGTTTGAAATTAAATTCAAACATCGTTTTCCAATTGGATTACTAGTAGTTGTTTTTCTGAACTACAATGCCCAGACAGACAGAACGAGATTGACTAATTGATTAAGGAACTCAAGGCCACCCCATGCGATGGTCGTCGACAGTAAAAAAGGCTCGGGAGAGCTTAGATAAAATAAATGCTCGGCCGCTCGCTCTGGAGATGATAGAAACGATGGATAGAGTCTCGTAGGGTCACGTGGCAGTAGACGCGTATAGCTGTATCAGCGGATAAAGAGGCGCTTCTTTCATTTGCCGTGTGGTCGTCTCGCGCCATTTGCTAGTCGCTCTGTTTGCGCTCCCGAGTTCTCACTTTAGGCTCTGAACCATCTTTCTCTCTCTGTTTTTCTGGTGGGTCCACTCGCATCCCAGGGGGTTTGTGCCTGCGCAGTTGTCACGCTCTGACGGGTATTATCTCAGCCACGCATACCTGTTGCAGGCTGTCTTGGTCCTCTCACCTTCGACCCGCTTCATTCTCATGCTCGAGTGTGCAGTAACGTTTATACCAGCTCAATGCCGGGCTACGTGGGAGCTCCTATGACTTTTCTGTACACATGCAGGCATGACTTGTCCTTGCTCGTGCGGTTGAGCTCTGTCGGGTCACATGTTCCGCAGTCTGCAGGTCGAACTAATGGAGCGGACGAGAATTTCGGAGCGCTCGCGCTCTCTCGCTACTTTCGACTCTGACGAGAATCAGCAGTGTACGGGTCTCGTAGGGAGCGCTACCTCGTTCTGTCTGCCTGGGCCGTATCCTTTGGAGATGGCCTTGAAAAACATTGACTAGAATAAAGGACTAAAACATCCGTAAGAGCCATGACAGGCCGACCAAAGGAATGTTGATACGCGCAGAGCCTTTCTGCGCGCGCTACAAAAAGGCCAGTAGGATTTTCTTCGAATTGATGTCGGAGGCTCGCTCTTGAGCGGGTATTACCGGCCTCAGATCCGTCTCACAGGCTCTCTCGCTTATGCCTTCGCTCTATCGTTCTAGTCATTTGGCCGTAGGTGAGGCTCTGATCTTACTCTCGGGAGAAAGAAGGTTCGGAGTATGCAGACGGTCGTGTGTTATACTCTAGCGGTTGTGAGCGGAGCTTGCTGATGGTGAATGTCTCTCTTGGAGGTCCCTTCTCGTGTGTTATCTCATTCGCCCTCTCCGTTCGGGGCTCTGGAGGACTACTCGGCGAGCTGTTAGTGGCTCGTCCCATTTTGGGGCTTCATTTGCATGTCTCAAACCGTGGCGTTCTTTAGCTATATCTGCCCATTAAGAGATGACTTCTCCACGGTAGTACTATATCTTTACTCGGCTCCTCTTATAAAAGTAGCATTTGGTATCTTTAAAAGGTTTTCTTGATTTTAAGAGGGTGAAGAATCTCTGCCTATCTATTTGGTTTCGTTCAAATGTGTGCAGATGCTGGTGGGGTTGCTGTAAGTATCTGATTTCTCTCATTGTGTTATTTTTTTAACCTTTCTCGCTCGGTTGTTAGTCTGAGCAGATTTTTTTCATACTGTATGGTGGTGTGTGTGTGTATTAAGCAGACAGAAGTGATATATCAGTGTCCGGAGGTATCGTGATCGTGAGGTCGGAAGCTTGTATCGGTCAGGAGGTGTGAGGATGAGTATTTAGTGAAATTCTCATGGTGAGATGAAATAGGGATATATTGGAATCTGGAGTTTGTAATTCTATAAAAGCATATAGGCCTATGCACCTTTTTCAGTTTATTGTATTTATTATCTCGTAGCGTTTATAGTGAGCATACGATCTGACTCGCATGGAGGCGTGATATGAACCATTGTTACTGTGCCCTTTCCATAATAGTTTGTTTGATTTGTAATTGAAGTATTTTGGAGTCTCGATTTTATTTTTCATGTCTGATTTTTTCAGTGCTAAACCGTCACTGCTTAAACTTATGAATACTTCATCGTGGCTTACTCAGTATTACGACGCGGCCTCTGGGGGAACTGGAGGTCCACGTTGTGGCATATTTTTTGATTCTATTAGTATTTCGCATCTTTTATCCACATTCGACAGGGACCTTTCGCATATTTTTTTAGGATAGATTCTGAGATATGTGTTCATCGGTTGCATGGAATCATCCATCGTGTAGTCTCAGAATTTGATAGGTAGGAATAAATATAGGGCTCGCA